ATTGCTGCCCCGCGAGCAACATTCCTGGAGCTCGAAATCCGCGCCGTAAGCGTGTAAGCTGCCGGTGAACCTTCTCCAAAGAACGCTGACCTACTCAGGAGCTCGGGACAGCAGCGGCCCCGGCAACCGAGACGCGGAACATTCCACAAGCAAGAAATTCCCCTTCGTCAGCGTAGGAGACGACGAGCTAGATTCTCGCGAGTCACTTGTTTTGTCAAAATGACGAACGACGTCTAGCACCCTGCCAACATCGTATTTCATTATTGTTTATTTCCGTGGTCTACTTAAGCGTCGTTTACACCTACCGATGGTGCAATACTTCCGCAATGAATTGTAAACAACGTGACGTCACTGAAAAAAAAAAAAAAAAGTCATCACGTGATTACAGCTTCAAAAGCGGAAGGACTACACCGTGGATACTGGGGATCACGGGACATTGTATAGAGCAGTAGAACCTAATAGTGTAATGCCGTTCGAGTCACAGTGGCAAAGCTTTTTTTTTTTTTTTTTTTTTTTTTTTTTTTTTCAATTGGCCATCACACTACGTTAGGATAGGAATATCCCATGGACACGCCTAGCAAAATGTATATACGAGCGCTATCGGTGCAAGATGGAGTCGTCCGCAATCGGGACTGCGCATGGTAAAATGCAGTATCCGATTATACACAGTAAAACAAAGAATATAGAAATTTCGTATTTTTTTATTTGGGAAAAGCGAGAGTGCTCAGAACGTTTTTGCAGTCATGACTCACGCTAGTATAGTATCAGATAGCTCTCGCCGCTGCCGGGAAGCTTGGAGGAAAGCGCCCGAACTGGTATCAGGATCGCGGAAATGACTCTCGACTGAAAGTCGTATGGACTCATGAGATCCATATCTTCTTATAACTTCGACTTCACACCGAAAAGGGGGCGTAAAACTGACGATGCGTACGAGGCCTGTCGAAGCACTTACAAAATTGCCAAGGTGTTCTCAGCTAACGGTGGACTGCAGAGGATGCTATGGGCCACCACAACCAATCCAATTGCGTGTTGCCATTTGAGTTTCACGTAGCCTTCAAGAGGGGCCACACTGGGTGCGCGTAGCGTCTGCTGCGGTCCATTGTCATAACTACTCTGATCATTAGTGAGAGTACGGAGAGCAGTTGGAGCAAAATGGCCAACGTGATACGGCGCTGTCATTCCTACGTCCACGTTGTAAAGCGCCGTTCACATATATGCAACCGAGTAAGACCGAGAGAGACCAGATTGGTTTTTAAGCCTCTTGCGACGTCTTAGAACCTGATGCCCGGTCTGGTCTGGTCTCTCTCACTTTTACTCGGTTGCATACGTGTGAACAAGGTCACACAGCAATATACGAAGTGGTTCTAAACATACTTGTTAAAAAAAGAAAAGAATCGTGAATGCCACAATACTTTGGCCTTGTGCAGGTGAGTGTGTTCGTCTTTTATTATCCACCCTTCTGACTGAGATAATATGGCGGGCTAGTTGGTTGTACATATTAATATATTAAAGCGCAAGATGAGTATTAAACGTTAGTTGTCAGCGCTCTTTACTATATCCCTCGTTTTGCCTTCCTCGTCGTTTTGCGCTTTAAATGATATATCAATACGTTCTTTCACCCCAGCCTTGCGCCTGTTACACGAGTAAACTTTAACGCACCACTGCGCTTCCTAAATGCTCAAAGACTTTCTAAAATTTACCGATCTAGTGGTTTCCGATGACGCTCAGCAAGTTTCTAATTTGAACCATATATATATTTGCACTCATTAAAAATATCATTTACATATGCTAGATTTATTGTGAAGATGAGCCCCCAATATTACTTCCCTCTAGTGATACAGCTCACCTGCACAAAGCGCATTAGTGTATCTTTCACGTTCTTTATATGTTAAGCTTAAAAAGAAGCACTACATCTTTCACAGTGAGAAAGCTAAGGATATGACGCGGCACTATAACTGAACATTCGCGCACCTATGTTTACAACGTACGCAACGAGAGCGAGCACCAATATATGTACGTGATGCAGACCGGAGGAAGAAAACCTAACTTTCAAAGGTTTATTACGAAAAAGTATTTAAAAATGAAAGCCGCTTACAACTCCCTGTAACGCCGAATTAGAGCGCAGCTCTTGAGGAGGAGGAGGGAAGGGCACTGGGGGGGGGGGGTTAAACTAACCAGGGGGGGGTCACGTTACCTTGGGGGTGACGTGACCCCCAATGCCTTTGATGTCATCACTGACGTCACTGATGACGTCATCAGTGACGATGACGATGCGGGTACCGATGACGTCATTAGTGACGTCACTGATGACTTCACCAGTGATGATGACGATGACGATGCGAATGTCGGTGACGTCATCAGTGACGTCGCTGATGACGTCATCAGTGATGATGACGATGACGATGCGGATGCCGGTGACGACATCAGTGACGTCACTGATGACGTCATCAGTGATGATGACGATGACAATGCGGATGTCGGTGACGTCATCAGTGATGATGACGATGACGATGTGGATGCCGGTGACGTCATCAGTGATGATGACGATGACGATGTGGATGCCGGTGACGTCATCAGTGATGATGACGATGTGGATGCCGGTGACGTCATCAGTGATGATGACGATGACGATGCGGATGCCGGTGACGTCATCAGTGATGATGACGATGACGATGTGGATGCCGGTGACGTCATCAGTGATGATGACGATGACGATGTGGATGCCGGTGACGTCATCAGTGATGATGACGATGACGATGCGGATGCCGGTGACGTCATCAGTGATGACGATGACGATGTGGATGCCGGTGACGTCATCAGTGATGATGACGATGACGATGTGGATGCCGGTGACGTCATCAGTGATGATGACGATGACGATGTGGATGCCGGTGACGTCATCAGTGACGATGACGTCATCGGGGGGTCGCGACATCGGCGGGGGTCACGTGACCTCGAGGAGGGGGCCACGTGACTTCGGGGGGTCACGTGACCCCCACGAGGTCACGTGACCTTGGTGGGGGGCTCGCGCGGTGCATTATGGGACATTTCCCATGATGCACCGCGCGGTTACGCCGACGCCGACGCCGACGGCGACGCCGACGCCGACGGCGACGCCGCTCAAGCCGGAAACGGGCCCCTAAGAGCTGCGCTCTAAAAGAAAATTGTTTGAGTCGGTGGAAGGGGAGAGGCAAATCGAGGACGGCGGGAATTAAAACAACCGAGGAAACTGAAAAAGAGGTGAAGTAATAAAAATTACATCATAAGTTCATAACTCCTTCACTTAAATGAAATGGGATGAAAAGAAAGACTCTTTTCATCGCATTTCATCGTCAGTTGCACAATGAGAGCTTTTCCAGTCTCCTTCTGAGCGTCCTCATCCTTTGAGTCGCTTGTGTTTTATTATGCAACCACCTCGCACGTCGGTTTCGGCAAGCCTTTCTACTGTGCATGGAGGTCATTACGTGACTATTAGTGACGCCGTCGAATTTGCTTTGAAACTCCAAACTATACCGTGGTAAGGTGTTATTTCTCCCGCAGAGAAGCACAAAGCGCACAACGCAATTTCACGAAAGCCGTGAAAGTGAAAATATACGGGAAACCTGGTGAACTTCATAATGCTTGTGGGCACGAAAAATAAAGAATATTTATTATTATTATTATTATAAACCAGAAAAAACGAAAAAAACACCGGGCAGCCATACATTCATCTTAAAACACAGCAGTGTTTTGCGACAATGCTTGTGCTTGTCCAATTTTTTTTTTTTTTTTTTTTTGGGGGGGGGGGGGGGTTACTGTTTTTGGGTTTTATCACCATGGAGAAAGAAACACTGCCTAGCTAACGTGCGCGCGTGCCGAAATGAACCCTACTGAAATCTCTCGGTTGTGACGCGCGGCAGTACATTAACAGTTTGAAAAAAGGAAAATGGAAGACGAAAGGGAGGTGGATAGGAGGAAGGATGTAAGTGAATAGAGTTTTAGCAGATCGTTTTTTCGCCCCGATAACGATACGATGCATGCCCAAGGCCGCCGGAGGGGAGAGGAGGTATCGTTATGGGGGCGAAAAAACGATCTGCTAAAACTCCTTAATAAAGTTGAAATAAAAGCGTCAACCGGCGCGCCGACGCTTCAACCGTCCGTCACCCGACCCCACGTTCGCAGCCAACCCCCATTCTTTAGAACGTCATGCTCATTGTCAGAGAGATCCGCTTGCCAAAGTCGACTTTCGCCGGCCGGCCTCCCAGTAGAACCGTAGGAGTTGAAATAGCGCCAGTTCCTTGACGTCGTATTCCGCTTCGCAACGCAATGGTTGTAATCCCGGAACGCGAACCGAAAACTCCGCCTTAGAACAAAACCGTTACAAAAAAAAAAAAAAGAGAAGACAAGGTTGAAATTTTTTTTACAAGGTTCATAGCATATCATTGCCTCTTAACACACTCGCACGAATAACAAGAAAATAATAAAAGATAAAGCTAACAAGTTCAAAAAAAAAATATATATATTTTTCAATGAGAGCAAACAGAAACCGAAACTTTTCTTTTCAGGCTTGCGGTTGAACTGAACTTTCAAGATAGTGTCAGCATTGGCCCCACAAAACGAACTTGGATCTCTTGAACCAACGGTTAGGTGGAACTCATCGTATGACAACTCCGAGCCATTCACGTAAGCGAATGCGAGGGGAAAAACTATATAAATATACCATATAACGAAACTACCGTTAGTGGACAGGCGAGCTGGCGAAAGTTTACCAAAGCGATATTAAACCGTCTTCCCATTCTCCGGTTAATATCACAATAATATATGAGACGCTGGGCGTTAATCAAACAAGCTTACACCCTGTCAGTCGCCAGCAGTCGTAGCCCTTTCCCCTCAAATTCATCGAGACATTAGACACCGTCGTAAAACAAATGTATAAAAAATTGGTTCGAGGGGAACGGGGAACTTGAGATGGGTTCAGAAATTAAGCGATACTAACCAGAGAGAGCAAAAAAAGCACTCACTTGATTCAACTCGGCATACCGTTTGTCGAGACGAGCGCACAGGGTGAGGGAGGGGTGCACTCGGAGAGACTGATCCTCCGTTCGCTCGACGCAAGTGTCGCCGCAGCAGTCGCCGTCGTCGTCGCCGCTGTATCACGTAATTTCCCGGACGCGTATCTGGCGGCGTCAAAAGCGCAGGAAGTGCCCGAGTGGGAATGTAACAACCTAAACGGGCAAAAGTCGAGAACGTAAAAAGTAATAAAAAAAAATCAAAACGGGCGATGCGAGCGCGCGACGACGACTGCTCCGTAGGAAAAGCGAACGAGCGTAGTGGGTGCTTGAAAGAAAGAAGAAGAAAACAGAGGTTTCAAGGGGAGCCTCCGTGTCTGCGGTTGCTGATGCTTGCTGGAGACGCCCTCGCGCCCCCTAGTTGCAAACCCGCAAAGCTCGACCGACGCTCGTGCTCTCAATTCGTCCCTCTCGGGCGCAGCTTATCGGGCACGGCAAGATAACAGGCACCGAATTGTTTACTTGCTTCACTGACTCCCTCTTCGGTGGCGGCCCAATGTCGCCTCGCTCGATATAGTTTTTTTTGCGGGCCAAGACTGTATGAGTTGCTTGTATGTTTGAGTTGCTTGTATGTTTAGACAACCTTGATGCTTGTACGCCTCAATGGGTGACTTGTCTCTTGGCTGTCGATGAGAAATTTTTACAGTGAAGTACAAGCGTTAACCTGGGGTCTTTAACGTGCACCACACAGTAGTGATTACGCCAGGGACTCAAACCGTAACCGTAACTGGAACGAAACTGTTGTTTTGAAATTTATGAAGACCGTAACTGTAACCGTAAATTATTTACCAGTAACCAATATTATTAACCTAAAAACAAAAATATTAGTTTTTCTCAAGAATGACCTCAAGGAGGGATCTTGAAATGTTGTGGCCATTTGAAAGAGTTACCGTCAGCGAGTGGTGCATGTAATAGTAAATCTGATCAAACATTTCTGTTCAATCTAAATTTAGGATTAAAAATACTTGGTTAGAATTAGTGGTCGAGCTTATAATGAAAAGCCTATTTCTAAATCTGCCGCACTCTTACAATTTCTACATGTATTCAGTACGTGTCGCCTTCAGAGTATTAACTAATAAGTTGGATCTTCAAGGTATAAACTAACAAGTTAGAATTCTGACATGTCCATCCATCTCGGTTCTTTCAAAACCACCGATGTTCCTCATCTGCAGTAGCCAGGATGAAAAAACGAGGTAAATTGACCATCACACAGAGTTGGGGGAAAACAAAACCTGGTATTCATTTCGTCTGAAACATATCGCGAGCGACAATTTTGTGACAACACGGAAAGAAAAAAAAAACGTCAGTTTTACATTAACGTTTGTGTTGTTCGGTCCTCTGCTTAGTTTCCTTGTTTTGTGCTATTGCGTTTACAATATGTCTGACTTTCACCAACTTGCTCAGCTCTCAATTTTATAACTTTATTCAAACTTGGCAGTATTCTACTAGAGGAGGGCTACAGTTCTGCTCCTTCCTTCTTTGTGGGCAAAGCCTGTTCTGCATATCTTAGGTTGCAACAAACTAAAGCGATGAGTAGGTGCGAATGGTTCTTCCAGCACCCAGTGGGGACTTTCTGAGGGCTGTCTACAAACACTGCCGAACAACAGGGTAGCAATGTTTATTTTTATTATATGCACCTTTTCCACAAGGGGGCAGCCATCTTTAATGTCGTCACTTCTGGTATGCGGAAAAACATCGCTTTGATATCTCCACGCCGCTGGAAAGTGTTTACGAAGAATGCGTGACTGTCACACATTCTTGTTTTCCCTCACCTATATTTTTCCGGATATTCCAGTCTGGAATGTCTTATTATTTTTTGTCCCGCATACCAGATACGAAACCCACGTGACTGAGAAAGAGAGGAAACAGAAAACGTCTATAGAATGCAATGATCCCTGAGTAGCGAGGGTAACATGCGTGCTCGGGTATCAAACTATACAATGCAAATAGATGTAGTAAACGAGTGCGGCAGTTAGAAACGTGCGAAACTTTTGACCCATCGGAAGTACTAAGACATATTTTAATTCTTGTTATTGTGAATGTCCCGTTGTTTGATATCTGGGACTACTTTAAACCATTCATTATAAAATGTCTCTCTAGCATTTCAATAAAACAAATTAATAATAAAAAAAAGTTTTTAGGATTGTGTAACAGGTAACCGAAACCGTAAAAATTAAAGCTGCAAAAACTTGAAACGAAACCGATATCAACAGGAAACGGTAACCGTAATCGTAACCGAAACATTATATTTTTCGATTTGAGCCCCTAGATTACACATATGCGTGCTGGCAGGAAGCTTGTCCATATCAAAATGGGCAAGAGGTGGAGATTGAACTCTAGAGGTTCTGCAGAGCAAGCTTTCACTCCACGCTCCGAGCTAAGACGCGTTGGAGCGCTTCCCACAGGACGCAAGGATAAGTAGGTAGGCAAAGGGGGGGAGGAGGTTCAAAGCCATAAGCTAACCTCCCCCCTCCCTGGAACAAAAAAAAATATTATGTTAGAACACATGCAAGAGGAGATCTGTTTTGAGGGTTACGTTTTTATTTAATCGCTTGATAGAGGCTCAGAACAGAACGGCCTGCAGCGTCGATAAACTTTACAGAATGTTTGTTGCACCATGGCACTGCTTTTTGTCAATCATACTCATATATGTACACACAAGTCTGCCACTGTACTTAGGCAACAGTTTGTACACGGTACAATAGCTTCAGTGTACGCTGCTAGGAAAAGCTGTAACGTGACACGAAAAAATGCATATGCTTTGGCAATCCTTCGTGTCAAGGTAGGATCTCCGCAGTTCTGCCCATTTCATTAAAACAAGTGATCAAGTCAAGCTGACACTGGAATAAGTGGTAAATGCAAAGAGTGCTTCAAAAAGAGGGCAGCGTAACCTGAGATCAATGATTGCAGATGGCTTCAATGGTCGGAGAATCTCAATACTGGCACCTTCTAAAGCTGGTTGTTGTGATGATCCATCCTTAGCAGTGGCTACGAAGTGCTTGGTTGGCTCTCACAGCCTAAACCCACTAAGGTCCTTGGAACATAAATAAATAGATCTTCAACACTTCATCCGTCTGTCTTGGTGGCTGCATTCGCCTGAAAACATGACACCAAAATAAGGCAAGTTTAGCTCACAGTAAACCAGAAAAAGCTTGATTAAAATGTCAAGCAAAGAGTGAACAGCATGTATTTAAATCTGATTTATTTACTTTTGTTTTTCTTTCTTTAAATTTTTACAGGTCCTATTGTAAAGGACTTTGCGTAGGGGGGGGGGGGGAGGAGAAATACAACATTTTGATATGTTACATATAAGAACTGCACATAATGTGTACTAACACGTACAAAATACAAATGCATAATCAGGAAAAATACAATATTTGAAGAAAATTTTCAAACAAGAGCAACAACTGCACATCAATGCGTAACACACACAAAAACCAGATGCATGTAACCAGATGCACACCAGAAGTAACAGTACAAAATAACTAGTATAGATGCTCTTGATGGGTGCAACAAAAAAAGTTGATTGAACCTAGCTTATTTTTGGAACAGTTATTTCAAACCAAGATTTGCACATTTTCGTGTGCATTTTCTATGTTTCAATGGACCTTTTTCCAGTAAGCCTCTGCGCATGCGTACACTCCCACTGTCGCCATTTTCGCAGGACACCAGGACGCGGTGCCCTGCGAAAATGACGACAGCAACATTGTCAGCATCTATCTTTGCGCATATTTAGTCTATTTTGACGCTTTGTTTTTTTAGTATCAATAGTATGGAATATAAAAAGCACTGAAAACCGATAAAACGGCACGATGCCGATGTGTTTTGACGGGCGGAGGCATGTTGGGCTGCACTTCATTTGTAGTTCGCAGACGGCTCCCCAGATGGCGCTCGTTACTCGAAAAAGGTTCATTGATATACTTATGTGATACATTTGAGTAAATCCAGTCTACCACACTGCAATATTTCCTTTATTACATTCTCTCCCCTTGACTCTTTTGCCCCAAATCATTTGATAACCCCCTCTCCCTTCCCTGAGCCAAGAATGTGTTGAGCCTTTTAATTCTTCCCTAACCTTTCCTTTATTGGGAAAAGGATGCTAAAAGGATTGTCTTACTTGCAGAGAACATTGACAGAGTGAGTGTCTTCAAAAACAATCAATGTCTGCCGTTATGAACTGCCTCTATCCGCCATACCAGGCATGGGACATGCAGGGAACCCACTTGTGGGTTCCCTGCTTCGACGAACGTGGTTATGGGACGACCAGCTTAATCGAAGCTCCAAGGTCAACCCTCCTAATCCACAAGACGGCACAAAGAAGACGAGAGGAAGGAAAGGACGAAAGATGATAGCTTGGAAGTTCAGAGAACACAGATAAAAAAAAAGGTGAATCTAGGGCACCTAAAACAAGTCTTCGATCAATGTGTTTACCGCCCACCCCGCCCAAGTAGCGAAAGTGGTCCCGAAGCGACGACAAACTGCGCCCCAGGAATTGGTGCGCCGTGCAGTCAGATGTCCCAATCAGGGTAGACGATTGTAAGAATGCTGGCGAGAAAGGCGGGCGGGCGGACACGAGTCCACCCGTTGTCACCGTCGCAGCGTTCGTGTCTGCATTGGTCCAATCCCGTGGACTGTTTGACTTCAGAGCAACCTGCGGCAGGACACGCGTCTACCGCGTCAACCTCAGCTGCCGTGCCGCTGCCGTGCCGCTGCCAGGATCGCGGTAAACAGATCCACTTTTGAGTACACTTTGTAAGCACACCAGTCGGCAATGCGCAGCAGGCACCGAAGTGAAACCGAAACCCGTAAACACGACGCCACCGTCCCTGGGGGCCACTTGCCTGCCGGGTGCCCCAGGTGAGGTAGTCGGGCCGCGTGGCGGCCAAGTACTCGTCCACCAGGTTCTGGACCACTTCCCTGGAGTTGTCCAGCTCGTCCAGGTTGTCCTGGAACATGGGCTCCTTCCGGAACTGCTCCAGGAAGGCCTCGCGCTTGCGCAGCTTGTCAAACTGCTGCAGCGTGCGCTGGAACAGCTGCGAAGACAGGTTACATCATGCCATTATTGCCGCCCAAAGACGCCGAGACACCTGATGCGAGATTTTCAAGGAGGCACCGTACAAGATTGTGTGTGGAAGAAACAGCTGATCGAGCTCTGGCGCAATTTTACACAATCACGAACTACACTTTATGTTGGAGTGAAGCGGCAAACGCATGAGCTATAAAAATAACTATGCATCTTGCGACGGTTACTATAGCAGATGTCGCCGACGCTGAAAGGTGGCCGTATGCCATGTCACCTCATCACAACATCAATGCCGCTTGATATAGTAACTGTAGCGCAACGTCCGTTTTCGTCGCTCGTGTGTTCAGCACGAATTGCCACAATCCATGTAGAAATTGGGTCTGCTTTTCCAGATAGCAGGATCTGCAGATGGGTTTCCGAAGTCATTGAAAACATGGTCACACTTATAGGCACAGACAAGGGGGAAGAACAAGACAATGCAATCTGAGGATTAAACAGTTGAAATATAGCACATAGTGTTATCTTGTTCTTCCCTCTTGTCAGTGTCTATAAGTGTGACAACGTTTTCGAAGAACAGTCAGCATTGCTCTGAAGTCAGTACAATGTAGCACGATGAGCGAATTCAAATAATAGCAGAATTTGTAGGAAAGTTGGTACGCTAAACTAGAAATGATGACAATGATTAAGGGTTTATGGCACCAAAGCTACAAAGGTCATCCGCAACAAACTAGAACGGCTAGCATTAAAACTTTTTAATTACATTGTATGGTAAAATCTTGTTAATATGAACCCGAGGGGGACAAAAGCCTTGTTTGAATAATGCAAAGTTTAAATTACCGGGGGCTGCCTCCCTAGAAACAAATTGGATGGGACCCGCATGTTAGCGTGAATTAAGAGAGTTTGAATTAACGAGATTCCACTACATACACTAAAGAACCAGGTATGTGAATAATGGCATCACAATTCATGTTAAGCAAATTAACTCAGGGCTTTTCAATTCGGCATGTACAGATGTCGGTGAGCGAGAGAAAGGAAGGTACTGAACCAATGTAACAACTTTACTATGTATAAAGTCACAGCATGTAGCAGAAACCAGTGTTGTAGAAAAAATTTAGCAGTCCGGTATGATTTCACAGTACAGTCACAGCGACAGCTTTAACACCGTATTGGACCCTAATGTATCCTTACGTATCTTGCACTTATGTATCCTGCACATGCAGTATATTGGGTGGTGAATTGAAACAGCCTGTCACGGGACTGTGGTAGCGCGCTCGCTTCACAGTCGGCGTGTCTGGGAATGGATCTTGAGAAAACTGCGGCAGGTTTCGGGTTTTTTTTTTTTCAAGCATTCTACAATATCAACGACGAAGAGCCCACAGATACACCGTTTCGAGTGAGGTGGGGGGGGGGGGAAGAGTCCACAACAGCTGTCACTGCAAAACAAGTTAAGTGTAGATGCCTTGTTCTTGTATGTGGCATTGGGGTTTCCAGCTCCCGTCCTTACCGAGGTGATGCCTGTGTGATTGGCGAGCATGAGACCGCTGACCCTGTGCTGTGTTTGGACGTAGGGCGACTTGCGGGAGAGGGCCACTTGGATGCTGGCAGGGCCCCAGGGGATGAACTGCACCATCTTGCGCTCACGGATACGCTGCAGGCTCTTGTGCACCTGCAGGCACGAGCGGGTAAACACGTGCAACAATTACGCTCCATAAGAAACACTTAATAGGAAAAAAAATTTTAAATTCACAAGATCAATGCTTAGTTTAATGGGGTGTTCTTCAGACATGCATTTTCTCAGCTTTTGGAAATTGTGTTTGTCATAAAAGTAGGCTTGAATCACATTAAAAACGACGACTGTGCAGCACTATTAGCGCAAACCCAATATTGACGCTTTTTCAAGTTTTACTTCCAAAGGGAGGCACAAAATATTACTGCTTAAAGGGAAGCTGAAACACTTCTTAAAAAAAATGAGTTAGAGGTGAACTCTGACATATTTTTATTCTATGAATCTGAATATCACATGCATTTTCCCCGAAGATGTAACTAAGCGCAAGAAAACGCGAAAAACCTCCAACAAGTCGACGTCATACTAGGATCTTTAGGTCACCAAGCGCGTGTTCCTCGTGTGGGCAGTGCATGGAATTGCAAGCTTGGCAGGTGTATTTTCCCGCGCTGACTCCAGTCATGACGTCTCTTTCTGACCTTTATGAAAATAGCAAGAGTAAACGTGTATAGCTTTGACGGGCGCTGAAGATCCATGAGAGCAGATATTCCGAAAATGCCTAGTGTGACGTCATGTCCCGGGAAGGAGGGGCTTCGGCGGTACTTTAGAAACTAATTTCTGCAGCCTTTGTGCACCAAATTGAAAAACAATCTCGATATTCGTGCTCCTGGAGGCCGAATGAGGGCCATTGAAGTGTTTTTTCTCAAACACAAAACCGCTTTAGTTTCTCTTTAAGAGGATAGCAGCCCAACAAACAAATTTCACCATAATAGCAGTTTTAAAAATAGCCTTGCAATTAAAAAAAAAAAATACTTGCATTAACAAGGTGGCCCAAACAGTGCCACACTCCTGGCATGCGTAACCGGGGGTGTGAAATTAGCACTAGTCAAATATGTCCAATATTTTGCCACTGCTGGGTTCATTTTAAGTGGGTTTGAATCTACTAAAGTTAATAAATGAAGAATAATTAAGGCAACTTAAAAAAAAAATCCAGACTTTTAGCAATCTTGAATGCACTTTCAAATGCTGCATGTTGTCTTTCTTTTGTTTTATTTACAGAGTTTATAAGACAAACCAGTTTCTTGAGGCCTTCACGAATGACGTCACGAGGGTCATGAGTGAGGGGAGAGAGGGAAGGGGGGAGGGGAGAAGAATGAGAGGAGGAGGATGGAGGAGGAGGGGGAGGAGGGGGAGAGGGAGAAAGAGAAGGAGGGAGGGAGGAAGAGGAGAGGAGGGAAGGAGAAGGTACGGAGGAGGAGGGAAGGAGAGGGTATGGAGAAGGAAGAAGGGCATACCCTCCTCTCTGTATCCTCCCCTTCTCCTCCTCCTCAAGAGCTGTGCTCTAATTTGGCATTACAGGGAATCGTAAACGTCTTTAATTTTTTCAAAGAACCTACAGCTTTTCTTTAACTTGCATCAGACTATAGCATCTTGGTCGCCCCTTTCAGATCATACCTGTCGCTTTCTCAGGTATTGGCCAACCATGACGGCCACTCAATCGTCTTGGAGCACTTCTTTCTCCCCACCTATCATGCCACCACAATCTTTGACACACAAGGGTGTGGATGCCTCACCTGTGTAGGATCCACCTCCCCCTGAATGATGTTGAGGATGCTGATGTAGCAGTGGTTGACCGTGCGGTCGTGGGTGATGGACACCATCATGTTCTTGGATTGGAGCAGCCGCCGCATCACGTCCAGCACCGTCGTCTTCCTCACGCTCTGAACCTGCAGAGCCGATTCACAATACATGCTGCACTTTCGTCCCCCATTTTTCCTTTTAGTCAGGTACGATTTTCCCGTGGTTATCTATGCTCCCTTTCGTCATAAAGTGTGAGATACACGCGCGTCAAAACAGTCCAACCTGATGAACAAACTGTCGGATACGACAAGTTTGGTCAAGCCAGAGTGTTAGGTCGGGGCTCGAGCATGCGACCAACCTGCCAGATATTTGTCGCACAGCAGTCCGACCGTCGGACGGCCACAGCCAGTGGTGGCACGAATGGCGTGAGCGTCGTGCTGTCGCGTGACAGTCAGTCCGATTGGGAGAGGAGGTGTCGCACCGGAGAAGCGGATGTAAGCGGTGCCATCATGCGAATCATTGATGGACGCCATGGGGTATTGCCGGGTGCACGAAACGAGCTGCCGATTTGCTCGCATTCGCAGCAAGCTGGCCCTTTGGGACCGATCGTGACCAGAATGTACTCTGTTTCACCTTACGATCGACAGCAGCGGACGCTATAAGCCGTTTCAATGCCTTGCGAGAGTCACACGACTTTCGGGAGAGACAAAGCAATGCACGGGGTGCGTAGTCACGCGATATGTATGGCAGTGCTCGCTTCGCTGAGATGGCTTAGAAGGTCTGCTGCGGTCCATCGTGATTATTTAATGTTCAGAAAAAAAAAACAAAGAGAAACCTCACGCAAAATCTTTAGCCACACGCACTTCCGTAGAATATAATAAATGTCTTTAAAACAGGAGAAACCATGGTCAAGCGGAATTAGGCAAGGTGCGAATGGATGATGCAGTGGTGGTCCAGCCAGCTTTGAGTTTGGAGCAATTTTTGGAGCAGAAAAAAAATCTCGTTATGGAGCATGTTTGTATCAGAAAAAGTCGGTTTTTGGAGCAGCTTTGGAGCAGCACACACGTTAAGTTTGGAGCAATTCGGGGCAGTTCCCTATTAGTGATATGGGCATGCATTCATGCGAACCCAAGCAGTTATGCTGTACTATAGTTGGGGACAGGTTAAGAGTGAAGTGGAAGCTCGTCCCTCCTCTTTCCATTTTTGCAGAGCGAACACTGGAGAGCGTTTCCTCTCCCGCAATCTTTCCAGTGATGCCCGGCCGGAGCCGGGCATCTCTTGAAAGACCGCGGCCATCTGCGGGCCGGACAAAGCGCGTCCGCGGACTGGGGTTTTGAGACCCTTGCTCTAGATAGAGACGTAAATTAGCACTATATACAAAGTCTGATCACGTGAAACGAGCAAATCAAGAAATATATTCTGGGTTCTCCCCAATGTATAGACATTTTAACGAGTAGTACAATCCAGGGGTTTCCCCAGGAATTGAAATTGGGGGGGGTGTCAAAATTTTTAGGGGGGAAGGGGGGGGTGTGCATTGAGAATAGGGGAGTCGTTGGGAATTAAAGGGCAACTCAGCTCAATTCCGAAGATTTCGGGATAATGAGTGATTTGGATTAGAAAGCCCTAGTAAAAGACACCACGTCATTTGCTTTGCAAAAAATGGGATATATATTTTTAAATCTAATTTTAAACACGAGCGGAAATCGAAACCGAAACTTCGGTTCCATCCGGCAACATTGGCCTCGGGCCGCCAAAAACTTGACCATCCGTTGGTACGAGATGTCATGTGATCCTCGATGAAACGACGGGTGGGATGGGGGCTGGCGTGTGCCAGACGCAAGTGTCGTCTGCACCGCAATCTTAACAGCATTTTGGTGTCTACGACATTCGATGACGTCTGCACAACTGTGGTATATGCCTGCGCACATAGTGTCCGTAGTGTGGATGAAACTCCAGGGACAATAATCCCAAACGGTGAGACGACGACGGCAGTTGCCACGCGGAAGACGGCAGTAATGGTGGAACCATTGCGGGTCGGCTGTTTAGTTCCGAAGAAGCGCGCTGCGCGGGCGCGTTACGCCAATCACATTGGCACCGCTGAGGGTTGAGAGGAAGCATTGCTGACATGAGCCATTACTCTTGCCCGCAAAACTAAAAACAAGCAAAAGGGGGCAATGGAGATGACGTCTAGCTCAATGTTGGCTACACTCACGCCGTAGCCTTGACTGCGCTTTTGGTTGCGCTTCAATTCGCCCACTCGAGTCAGCCGATTTTGGCAACTTGGCGAGTTGCAAAGTTTGCTGGACCGTTTAAGAAACATTTAGACAGAACTGCGTAGTAATATTTGATGTGTGGTCTTCCTAGGCGATACTGAAGAGGACTGCATTGTTTTTTCAAAACCAAAAATGAAGCAGAAATGCCCTTTAAGGCCTTCAGAAAAACAAAGGGGGGGGCGGGGGGGGGGGGGGGGGTGTACACTCTCTCTAGGTGGTGTGCGGGGAAATCATTAGTATGATCAAGGATTCAGATCATTGGACATGGAAAAAGGCAACAATTCGTAACCAAGCAGTCCCGATCGAGCATGCTGCGTGCTAGCGAAATAAGAACCATGTGCGAGCACATTGTATAAAACAGTGTCAAGCTTCGGAACGCTTCGAAATGCAACTAGAACTGTTAAAACTGCGGCGCGTCAGGAATGTCGGTAAAATTGGTACGAACGCTGTGAAACAATGCAGTGGAGCCGGAAACCTGGATTGGATTGTGATGGCCAAATCCCACTGGATCCCCACAGTTGCCAGACGAAAACGAAAACTCTTCCAAAAACCAATTCGGTCACAGATTTGTTTGCCTTCGCACAGTCTGGCGCAATTATTCCATTTGGGCGCAGCAAGGCGCAGGCAAGCGGGAATTTATCAAAATGGCGCAAATGGCGCAACTGGACCACCCCTGATTATGGCAAAGCCTCCTTGTAGGGATATCAGAACTGCGCAGAGCTGAATAGAACGTCGCGTCGGAAGCGAGGTAGCAAGCATGTGTCTCGACCTGTCGAGTGCAGAGAGACGGCGCAGCCGCTTCTCCTACAATTCGTATGTCAAATCAGATAGCTTTGTTGCACATTAGTCTCGTGATTCGTTTGGCAAAGGGCATGCAGTAGAGCCTATGTGAGCCAATAGACCTTTTGCAAAATGTGTGATGCCAAAAGGAATGCTGGGAACTGCCTGTACAGAACCAGCTGTAGCAGACGACGAAAGGGACATTGAAGCTGATGGAGGAAACACAGGCAAGAAACTGCAGTACCAACTTTCTCTTTCTTTTCAGGGTCACATAGAAGTAGATGCTAAGGGAGAAAGGAGGAGCCTGCAGGGAGTTCTCATAACTCATTAAGCGTTTTGCATACGGCCTTCTGGCACTTTCTCAAAAGGTCTATTAGAGCTATGGGGTGTAGCAAGTGACAGCACTTTACAGGAATAGTGTCGCACTTAGCACCAACACTCCGATTGGCTTGCTGGAGCCGTACCTTTCGCTGTTCATCTGGTTATGATACAGTGATGGAAGTACCATTTGACCTTTTGGAGCAGGCCTTGTAGCAGGCAAAATGTTGTTTTGGAGCAGGTAGTGGCCCTTTTGGAGCAGGGTCCGGCATATGTTGGCATATTACTTGAAAATGAAATAATGCTGCAATTGCTATATAAAGCCCATCTCTATTATTGGAACACAGCGCCTGTCGCCTTTTTAAGACAGGATATATAAAATTCAACAAAGTAAACACAAAAACAGATTTTTAAAAAATAAAGTTTATCTGCTCGTCAGATAAAAAAATACAATTAAATATGTCACACTGAGTTCTGATGGTACAGGATATGTAGTTTTATCAGCCTGCACTCTTTTAAGGTATCTGCAGCAGCATTTAACGACCCTCACTGTTGCGTGATGTTTTAGTTCAGATTAGAGTTGTCTTTCGGGCAGCAGCTTCAAATATTGTGGTATCTGATATTCGCTTGAAAAATTCCGATTCATTTTTGATGTGCTGGTGAAGTCACGATCGGATCACGGCGAGTTAACCCGTTGAGTGCGCTCCTTGGCATGCGCCTACGCGCTGCAAAGAAGCGACACCCATGGAGCAGACACTGCAGTCGCGCGAGTCGCGCAGTGCTTTGTGCTCCGAAAAGGATGGTTAGGCTTTACCAGCAGTACATCCAGAGCTTGGTGCAACTCAAGTCAGGAATGCACAGAGCATTGGGCTCGCGCTAGCTTTGACTTCGCTGGTAGCTAGCGCACGGGAACAGGGCGGGCCAACATTGAAAACATCCACAAGCTAGGTCTTTATTTTTTTAATAGGCTGCTCAGTGGGATGGTTCTTCGCTTAGCCTCTGCGGCTTTCGTCTCAGATGTTGCTAACGTTGTTCCTTTCAATGATGATGATGATATTGCGCCCTCGCAGTTTCGGTTTGCGTAACAGTTGCGGCGCGGAAAATACCGCGGTACCACCAGGCGCTCTGATAAGACTCCAATTTTTATTTTTTATTGCTGCATCTCATCTCGGCGCAGGCATGGCGCAATTCTTCGGTAAAATGACAATTTGGCGCTACATGTAGCAGGATTGCGTCCTTGACGCAATTGGCGCAGCACTTCCATCACTGATGATAAAACAAATAATACCTGCTTCCATCAGGTCGCAGTTTAATTATTATGTTGATGCATTACCGGTTAGTCACGTCTATTCTAATTCATGCTCTAAAATGTCCGTGATGAGAGACAAATCCACGCCCGAACCTTTGAATGTATCCTCAGACTGCCAAGAACCAACATCTAAAAAGTGTGAAGTGGTGTTCTCTCTATATAAGATTCCTCAACAATGCTGCTGACATGGTTAATACAACAGAGAAGTAGGCTTTTGATAGCAGTTGAAGGGTCATGAATTCTCTCAGGTCTTCTAGGAGCTTTGTGTGGCGCAAAACTCCGGCAAAGAAGGCTAACGCTAAGGTGCCGCTGCCTACCTCGTGTTCCGTCGTGAGCGGCGTGTAACCGGTCATGAGGAAGTGAAGGCGAGGCGTCGGGATCAGCGGTGCCACCAGCCCAAGCAGGTTGTTGTTCATGTAGCTGGGGTAGCGGAGCGTTGTTGTGCTCACGGACATGATGGTGGACACCTGGCGAGAGAGCCAAAGAAAGACTCTTGGTTCTGTCCAAGGTTTCAGCACGTTTGACAGTGGAGCGCACCACGAAAAATGAATGAGAATGTGCACTCATTTTCTGGCTCTATGCCTATCAGACATACAGTTGCTTCCTCCAAATAGTGATTTGCCCACCTGCAACAGGATTTCCAAAAGTCCAGCAATAAAAGAAATAGTGTTAAATAGAACTTCAGCTCCTAGCAAAAAGAATAGCAGAAATAACTTTTCTGAGGTACCGTGCTCATGGGCATCCGCAGAACTTTATTAAAAAAAGGGGGGGGGTGCAAGCTCTACTTTCTTAGAGGGAACCATGATTGGCCAGACAGGCACTTATGTTTTAGTAGGATCACAATCCTTTGGTCGTATTACTTCGCTTTCATAGATGCAAATAAGAGTGACGTCAGACTCTAAATTTCAACGGTGTTTGTTTTACAAACACGATGGCTTCAAGCTTCCGCCATGCCTGTTACACATACCATTGAGCTCGTCGTTCACAATTGATAATCCTAGTCATGCCGTCACGAGCAGGAGCCCTAAAGTCACACTGCTCATACATCAAGCAAAAGAGATGGCATTCACTGCAGGTACGATGACAGAAGTGTCTGCAAGCGGGCCTTGCAGACACTTCTGTCACGTCTTTCACGCACACGTCACGTGCGTGTGCGTGACGTGTGCGCTTCTGTCACGTCCCACGCATACATACATATGCGTGGGGAAAGACATGTCTTTCCCACGCACATGTATGTGCTTTGTACATACCTGCAGACAGTTTTTGTACGACTAATGTGGCCGGGACATCGTGCAAGGAAAAAACGTGCCTCAGACAGCACCTGCAGACTGTTTTTCAAACAATGTATTGGCAGTGCGACAGCGACCAGAGAATTTGCTACTAAAACATCTCGTCGTCAACATCCCCAGAATCCCAAAAGGGGGGGGGGGGGGGGGGGGGCGCTCCCCCTTGCACGGCCCTCCGGATGCCCATGGCCACACTACAAGTGTACCTGCATGCTGCTTTCTTCGTGAATGGAGCAGTGGTTTAGTAGTGTTGATAAAGCCAATTTTAATCGAAGGACTCCCGGAATTAATTATAGAATCAAAGAAAATAATGTTTACGTTGCAAAGCAGCACGAATGAAGTCTTATTAGTGGTTTGATTCTGGCTGACCCAGGACGAGCTTCAATCACACTTGAGGACAACTTTATTCTGGTGTTTCAGAAGAAAGGAAGACAGTGTGCGTAGCTTTGATCGGCGCTTGAGGGGCGTGACCGTACAGGTACCTATAGCTTTGTCTTCGTCGCCGGAAAAAGTTGCCCCCAAGTGCAGTAACAAAGTAGGGCTCAAGAATAGGATTTAGCAGAATTTTCTATGATACATAGTACCAAATCTTCCAACTTTTCAAACATTCCACACGAAGGAGTGACAAAACGTCCATTATGTCGACTCCATTCAGCAGTGCCCTTCTTTTTTAAAGTTGGCATCCACTAAAGAGAGCCTGTAAACTTCTTACCATGATTTCTACAAACAAGAACAAATTTTTTTTCAGCTTGAGAGTTATCCAACTTATTTTTTTTTTAATGTAAGACTAAAAAAGACATATCAAAATTCAAGCATTAGTAAGCGAAGTACCCCTCGCGAGTTCTTTAGAGTGCACCCGCAAATCACCCACCAGTGTGTTTATGTGCGAGAACGAAGGGTTCTCGATGTGCAGACGATCCACGGCAATTTGGTTGAGAGCGGCGTTGTCAAGGACGACAACAGAGTCTGCGTTTTGGGTGAGCCTGTTCAGTGTCAGCATGGAGTTGTACGGCTGGACCACCACATCACTCATCTCCTCTTGGTTGGGAAACACGGAGTACGTCTGGATGAGCTTTTTGGGGAACCTGCAACAATTAAAGCCTCGTCAGATTTTATGTCACAGCCTGGTTGGCATAATTAGAACAAACCTGCCCTATGTTACCGGTTGCTCAGACTTCAACAGTTAAAAAGACTTAAGAAAGCTACTGGAAAGCTTTGCAGTACAGTGAACAGTGGGTGAAGCCCAGGACCACACAGTACCGGCAAACAGTGACATCGGCAAAATGCAGCTACAAGATGACGATGTTCTTTTTCTTGCGTAAACATCACGGGGCAAAACTGCCATCTTTGATTACCTATTCAACATCGGCATTCCCCAATTTTCAATAAATACGAGGAGCAAACGTATACTCAAAAAATATTGAGTGTCGTTGAGTTCATTATTTCTGTAAGAATTGGGATTGTTCTGGAGCATGAGGGAGCCGCATGAATGCCAATAACTGCACGAGAAGTTTGAGTAATCTGCAATGCAAACAAAAGGAGTAGAAAAAAAAAAAAGAAAGAGCAGGAGCAGACCTGTCATTCAGTCGTTCCAAGATGTAGGAGCCCATGCCAGAACCCGTCCCACCCGCAATCGAGTGGCAGAGCACAAAGCCCTCGAGGGAGTCGCTGCCCTCGGCTTCCCGGTCGACGATGTCGAAGACGTCCTCGTTGAGACGCTCGCCCTGCGCCATTCCCCAAGCTAATGCTCCCGCCGAGTTGCCAGTTCAACCAGAGTGCACGCTCTATTGTCAACAAGCAAGCAAAGTACTAAAGTAGATGCAAGGCAAACATCAGGTGCAAGATGAAGAATCGCATCTCCATAGCAAGATGCTGTGCTGTACTAAGAGTGTCGGGGGTCTTTATGCACATTTAATGGTCCTTCATTTGTTTGCATCAAGCAATGCTTATTTATGTAGCAGCAGCCCAGAAAAAAAAAACATTTACAATCATGTCTGGCCTCTCTACAAATTAAAAACATGTCTAAACATTGCGGCATGTCCCTTTTTCGGAGATCAATATCAGAAGAAAGGGGCGTGTCACAATGTTAGGTTACGTTTTTATAAGAAAAAAGAGGCCACGCACGATTGTAATTATTGGTTTTCTGGAGCGCTTAAAGAGGGACACGAAAATTAAATGGATAGATTATTCTTGAAATGGAATGTTCATAGGCTACTTAGTATATAAATAAAGTTTCGCAATTTCTAGAGCTCTAGTAATTGCAATAATCAATTTACGAATTTTGATTATGTTCATTTGGTGACCAGGTAACACTGCCCAAGTTAGTCACACCACAGTGCCCATAAACCATATGATCGTGAACGCTCTCTCATTCTAGGTGCCCTCATGATCGCCCAAGCTTGTCTTGTCATGGTATGATCAAAACCACCCACGCAACTCGGCAACTCCAACACCATTCTCGCCCCTGGTCCCTTGACCTTCCACCTTGCAAGCGCCTGCGAGATTGACCCGGGCTACTTCGACCACTGCGAGTTCATCCGTGAGTCGCCATCGCTGGAGCTGGTTGCCAGCGGGTCGCAGTCAAAATTACCAGCTTCCAACGTGTCTTGATAACAATCACTTTCATATCGCTGCTGCGATCAGTGTCGAAGGTTTCGAAGAAGCGAGCGATTCCGTAGACATAATCGTCACAGACCGCATGCTTGAAACGCTGAACGTAAACAAGGAAGCTGAAGCTCGAGACGCCAAGAGAGCAGGGTCTATGAGTGCGTGCAAGGGGACGCCGCACAGTTGGCTGGCGACGTCACCAGCCCGCCAGTACGGCGGCCTTTTCGAATGGGGCGGATCCGAGGGTCCCGCATATAAATCAATTTATCCACAAAACTATCGTGCCATTTTCAAAGCAAAATTAACAGGATTATAAGAACATACAATGGGTCCTAGCAGTACAGTTATCTCATATTTTATTGTTGCCATGGCCTGACCTCGCCGACATACATGCTCGGTTTTAAGCAGGGAAGATAATCCTCTTAGCGCTCCTCCCTCTAAAGCTGCAAGGGGAGCCAAGTTGGGGCAAGGTAAAAAGTGGAGAGGACATAGAAAGAAAGGAGGTGGGCAAAAGTGGAAAGCGCGAAGTGTATGTCGGCCTCAGAGCAAAGGGTCATGTCGCAGTTCTGGTCACGCGAATATTAGAAAAAAAGGCCATGCATGATTATATAATCTTTTTTTTTTAAGATGCTTAGGGCATGCAGGTTGTTTCCATCATAAAACAACGACCTCAGACCCCACTTTAGTGGCACTTTACGTGAGCAAAGTAGCTCAAACTGAACAAGCCGATGTGCTCTTGATGCTTGAAGCAAGGACGCATGCCCTATGCTTTTGAGAAAGGGGAGCCGCTACCTGGGAGTATCCAACGGCCCAGTTATTTCCAGCGCCACCTCCGGACTGGGACAGGTAGATGTTCTCTTGGTTGTACAACTTGGCATACGGCGAGTTCATGATGGTGTTAATAACCCTGGGTTCGAGGTCAAGCAGTACCGCACGAGGGATGTAGTGTTGGTCGTCGGCCTAGAAGGAAATAGCAACATCATGAGTGTCTGCTATCTGCAACACAGTCACATCGCTTAGAGCAGTATACTACCATAAGGTATTTCAAGTGTCAATGGGTAAATGGAGCAAAAGGCCATTCATCAAAAAGGCATCATTAGGCGTCACATCGTGACTTGACTCCATGATCGAATTTTCAAGATACAGCTTGAAATTAAGTACCAGTTTTGCTTGTACAGTTTGTGCAGCTATGTAAACATCAGTGCTAGCATCAGTCCACTCTATCCACTGAGCTAGTTTCTTAGAACATGCAGGCAACAAGCATCATAATTTAAATATTTTATCTGAAAAACTTTGCACTTAGAAACTCGGCAGAACAATAAGCCTACATGCAAACGACCTTCATAATATATTACACCCACGCACGAGTTATTTAATGCAGAAACAGAATACTGCAGCTGGCAGCACTTGAGGCAAGAGTGGCATCCAAACTAATACCAAAGCTTATACTACAAGATCATGCTGCGGCTAAGTACCTGATAGAAGAAGACATCCTTGCGATCAATGCCTTCAGTTGCGAAGCTTTCCAGGCATCCGTCTGAAGGAAAGAAGCAACAAAATTTACAATAATAATTGAAAACAAGCATGTTAGTTAATAGATATGTATACATGAAAGAATAAAACATTGAGGATAAAAATGGAAAAAGGACTTCTTGAAAGAAGTCCTGTTTCTGTCTCTGGTCTCAATGTTTTATCCTTTCATGTATTCATAAATTTACAATCTCTTTGGCCTGCAATAAAACAACATTAATGCAGTTCAATGGGTTACATACCTGGGCTGATGCCATGTTCAGCACACAGCTTTTTCCAAAACTCAAAGCCAACTGGAAAAAAAAAAAAGAAGTACTTTTAGCAGAGCTGAAAGTGTAGTAAACTTCTACAAGATAGTGGCACGAACTGCACCTGCCTACATGAGATGTCCCAGGTCATAGCAGTATGCCAGAGCAAAAGAATGTTTACAGAGTACTAAAACCCTCTCCGCTTTGGAACTGCACTGTAGTGCTTTAAACGATGACTTTAAAGTGGCAGCCCTGCGCCATCAAACTAGGGTGGGCATGCCCACCCTAGTTTGATGGCGCAGTCTTTAGTTCTCCTAGTTCTTTACAGACCTAAATTATGTGCTACATCATGTAGGAAGTACCAGCAGAAACCAACACACCTGTCACCCCTGAGGAGTCAGTAATTTCACAGCTGTTCAGAGCTGCCGCATAAACACTTTACTATGAACCTAGGTTTTAAATGGTGTGCTTTTTGCTAATATATTCCTATTTACCAGCTCATTTTCACCCTAATATTATGTTTGCTTTTGCTCTTGTTTTTTCACTGTCTCAACAGCCAATCAGAAAGCGTAAAATTCAAGTTCAAGCAGACAAAAAAAAAAGACTGCATCCCCACGGGGTAAATGATGTTGATTGGGGTGAAGCTCTGGTGGTGCTGATGATTGATTGATTGATTGGAGTTTTATGGCGCGAGAGCAACTAGGCCAAAATGCGCCAGGTGCATGTGGTGCTGATGATACTGATTTTATTGTTCATAGGTAGTGTTGATGGTGCTGATTTTTTTTTATTGCTCATAGGTAGTGCTGAGTTCTGGGTTGTGTTTCGACTTCATTATAACTGCTTTATGGTCTGTGAAATGCAGAGCCAGTGGTTCTTCTAGCGGATCAGCTTGAATCCACTAGAAGCCGTGGGAACGCATCTCCACCGCTTAAGCCAACGGTTCATGTCAGAAAGAGAATGTGTGGTATGGAACGGGGTTATATACGCATTTGAGCATTTGACCGCAGCGCCCTCTTGTCAATAAACGTTGAGCCAATACATGCAAAGTTTAACGCAATTATATACGCATTTGACCGCAGCGCCCTCTCCTGTATAGACGTTGAGCGGCTATATGCAACGTTTCATCCATGACAGAAACCCCAGCTCTTGAGTTACTACCACATCTCAGAGCCCCTTACTCGTCCCGCAATCGTGGCTGAGTGGTTAAGGCGATGGATTAGAAATCCATTGGGGTCTCCCCGCACAGGTTCGAATCCTGCCGACTGTGCAAACATTTTTTCTTTTTATGTAAGCACGGACGCCGGACGGCCGGACGTAAGGAAAATGCTAGACCCTAAGGAGCTTCGCCCCTAAAAGAATCAGTGTTTGTGTTTAGACAGCAAAGCTCAACCTGCCTTTGAGGTGCGGCGACGCTGGCTTACGCTGTAGGTGAGACATTTAGCCAAAGCGGTATTACTGGTAGCCTGGGGTCTTTAATGTGCATCCCACAGTAGTGAAACACGACTGCACGCCGGTACAATGCTCGTTCAGATCGAAACGGGCAGGGGATTGAACCCTGAATCCCTGGGCTCTGCAGTGTGTGCTTTCGCTCTTTGGCTCCAAGCTGCAGTGCACAAACAAACTTGGCAATCAAACCCCCGTTCAAGAAGACGATATGGAATGTAGTCTCTAAAAAAATTCATTGGCTTTAGGGAATGCCAGGCAAATGCCAGGAGTCTTTCCATGTGCAAGGTGTGAACTGTTACATCCAATATTACAAGATATGATTCTGTAGAGCTTATGCGTATTTGGCTATCATTTTGGTTAACCCTGCATGCCATCTGCCGAGTGCAACATTTGACGATGAAGAAGGACTGAAACCAATATAAATACAAAGGAGCAAGAGCAAGAGGGCGACTGAATAAATGAGTTAAACTAAGTGTCAGTCTGCTAGAACTGTAGGCTGCTACCATTTTATCTGGAACATGCTTTTGCTTGTGGCCTGGGCTTCGCTATCATGTAAAGTGAAGCATACTTAATTACGGATGCTATGAAAGAAAGCAATGCAGATAATAAAGCTGAAAAGAATGTTTGATGGGAAGACACCGAGGCCTCAAACTGCATAATTATTTTTTAAATTTTAATTATTTTAGAAACTTTGTTAGCACATATGTGCAGATGCTGACGGACGCCTGTATTTGAACGTTGCTCGGGCTTAACCAGACATTACAGCGCCGCTTTTATGGTCGTATTGCTTGGATGGTGCAGCCAGAATTACTAGTTTGCGTCTTGCATACACGCTTACGCCCCATGCCCAAGAGCAACGGGCCAATAACTGTTTTGTAAGCATTGTTTAGCTAAGCTTGTATTCTTTTTTTTTATGCAATCCAAGGATGAATTTTATGCTAAACTTCTGCTGCAGTCCAAACAGCAGATATAAGTATTCCTTCCCTACAGTGAGAATCTTTGAGGTTCTCAGAGTGTCTGGTGACGCTTAAAGAACCTCATTTGCACGCAGCTCAACATGGCGACAAACCTGTACTGAGCGAGACAGAACGCCGCACTAGGCATAGCACTATTAGAGACTTTTAGTAGAGCATACGCTAAAACTTCGCATTGCAAGAAAGAGCTTGTGCCGTCACTTTAGAAGCATGGATTGAGCACAAGCTCGCTCGACCCGCAATCGCAGCGCACAGTCTACTAAACACTTTCTACAGGTGCAAGATATGATAAACGGTATGGTCTTGCTCGAGAAGGCTCGGCGTAGAAATGGCATAGGCCCTCGACGGAGAACACCCATTGCTCCTTTTAATGAACGCAGGTTTAGGTACGCCCCGCCCCCGCCCCCCCCCCCCCGCCCCCCACCCCCCCCCCCCGCCCCCGTTACATAGAACCCCTTTATAAAGTAAGATAGTTTAGAGAAAATGGCGAACGAGCGTCCTTGTAACAAATTTGTTTTCATAGAAGCACAATGCAGGATTGGGCGATGCAAAACTTTTTTGAGTCTCGCCTGGTTTACGGGAGGAGAGAGAGGAGGGAGTACCCAAGGCTTAGCTTTGGCTTAGGTAAATGCCCCTCAAAGCGCCGAGGAACAGATAGAAGAGAAGACAAGAGCGCAAGGAGACGTCAGAACGTTGAACTCTGGTTGGAATTATTAGTAGGGTAGAGTCCGGGACCGTACACCTAGAGCCAGCTGCCTTTGTCTTCACTGCAGTCGTAGAACCCGTTAGAACGCAGAACGCTGGCGTTTGGCTCTCGCATTCGAACGGCATTTAGGTCTACCACTAACCATTCCAACCAGAGCTCAGCGTTCTCACGTCCCTGCGAGCTCTCGTCTCCTCCTTCCCCTCAGTTTCTCAGCACATATGAACTTCGGAAACAAAAAGCATTCCATGGGCGTACACCGGTGGCGCTAAATCGAAAGCATCTAGCCAACTATAACTCAGCTACGCCCACTACCAGGCACAAGGCCAGGGGAGGGGGGGGGGGGGGGGGGGGGGGGGGGGCATGGGTCCCCAAATTTTTTATTTTGCTGGGAGCTCCTCTCCCCCTCCCCCTTTACAGCATATTGTCATGCCCCCCCCCCCCCCCCCCCCCCCCGAAATTTTCCATTTTGCTGGGAGCCTCCTCTCCCCCCTCCCCCTCATACAGCATTTTGTCATGGGCGGCCCCCGCTTCCCCCGAAACAAAATCCTGGCTACGTGCCTGCCCACTAACAGTAGCTCACTGACAAAACACCAACACTACAATGGGTCTGAACCTAAATCCGAAAGGTGAGTAATGTCAGGGAAGCGGGGTACCCCGAAGATATCCGAGGAATTCTTGTTTTTTTTTAAACGTTAATCAGTCTTCGCGCCATACGCCTGTTACCTTGACATGAACGGAAATGTTGTGTCAGACGGAGGCCGCTGTACTCACTCTGGTTCCCACACTGGCCGAGCTGGAGCATGATCATTTCTCGAGGCATGGTCTTGTAGTCTGCTGTGGGATGTAATTACCGGGACAATTCGTAGAATCAGATAAACAGTGCCGATCGCCACCAAAGAAATTCTGGCGGAATATTTGCGGAGCTCTAGAACGGATGGATGAATGGATGATGGTAAGTACACACAGAGCCGTGTATGTGAGTAAACAGCAACTCCGTCCAACTGTAGTTTTTGTAATTGTCGGTAACTTGCGCCATCTAGCGCTTAGGTTTCTAGCAATGCTCTCAGCCAGTGATTCTGCTGGACCTAAGCAGGGCCAGTGAATTTCAAAACTAATGCTCGTTAAATCTCGTTTTGGCAAATGATGTTTTGATTAAATAAAACTCAACCCTGCTCAAGCTTGCAAAACAATAATAATTAATAAAGGCTTTATGAGGCAGAGGCGTTTGAAGTCCACTCCTTTCCACCCTAGAGGAGTGAACACTGGAGGGGAGGGTCTTGCCTCCTCTCAAGCGTTCGTTCTGCTAAAGTGGAAATAGTGAAAGACTTTGCGGAAGGAGCCTATCCTGCACCCTAAAACCTGCGACTGACTCTATGTTCTAGTGTTCAGAATAAGACGAGCTGGGTGTTTCCCTCTCCGTCTGAGGTTTTAAAGGGGCACTGAAGTCAGTTTTGGAAAAGGTCGTTTTTTGATCTCATATTGTTCAAAACGGTGTTAGTTAAGTCCTATATTACAAAACCGCCTATTCATCTCGGGGCACGAATAAAGCATGTGGGCTCTTTTTTCTCGCGGACCACATTGTGTGGACCAATGAAAGACTTACAATACGCGTAGATTTCGAACGATTTCATAACTCGTTTTGAAGAGTCTGATATGTACGCATTCGGATAACTCTCCTCTTTTTCTCCGCGGGCGGAGTCATCGCTTGCATATCGCCGACAAGCGCCCTTCGTCGACCACTTCAACTCGGAAGAAAATTCTTCCCAAAAAAGGGCGTGTCGCGATCTTTGAACACTCTTTTAACGACAAAATAAGCTGCGTACTGATTGTGATTTGGGGTTTGTTGGAATGCTTAGAGCGTCTAGATCGAGTTGCCAACACAAAAGGACGATGTCAGAATCAACTTCCGCCTAGACTAAAAAGGGACGAGGGGGGGAGAGGGGGGGGAGGAAGTCGCCCTTTTTTTTTTTTTTTTCTTTTGTTCTGGAGTGAGTCAAGTTTTGACGGAACTAGCGCGGCCCTTGCAACATTTTCTACACCCCATTATTCTTCCTTTCATCTCTTTTATTCATTTTATGCAAGGGTAGCTTACCCAATCCCATTATTAATTTAACATTGATCAGCTGGAGGAAGCGACAAGCGCGTTGCTTTGACCGGCGCTCCCGCAGCACGTGCAGTCGTATCGTTGGTCCACCTTTATTTGAACTTCTTACGCATTGTATGCTTGCAATGGGCAGTTCCAGCCCATTGCATATCCCTCGATTTCGATTTTTTAAGATGCACTTTACTGGTTTCCTCTCTGCCTTCAAAAAAAAACATCCTACCCGCCCTAACTACCCCCCCCCCCCCCCCCTCTCTTCCCCTCCTTCCCGAAATTCGCAACGAGTCCTCATTGCTCACTTTCCTTTCCTGATCGCGTGCACATGGAACTAATTGTAGTAACAACAACTTTCGACACTACGACTTCTTTTTCTTTTCATTTTCATTTTATCAGCTTTGTATCTATTATAACTTCTTGTTTACATTCTGACCAATTTTTTTTTTTATCGATAGATGGCTCATTTTTGCGTTGTTCCTCGGTACTAAGTCTCCTCGTTTAACCGTATTCCTCAGAGAGCCGCAACTTTAAACATGTTGTATTTCATTGACAGAACAAAGAGAAGTCCGTTGTTGGATGGAAAAATAAAACATTATCCCCCGCCCCCCCTCTTTTTTTTTTCACTTAACTTGAGGCAAGTGCGCTGTGTGGTTTCCCAAAACGACACATTTGTACACACGCAAGCGCGCACACACACACACACACACACAAAAAAAAAAAGTTTATTGTTTTTTGTTTTTTTTTGCACTGCGTTTTAATACACCCTAATTCAGGTTATTTACTGGGTATTCGTTGCCATACCATTCTAGTCAGAACGTTATCGACGGCGTGTTTTTACTTTTAAATGTTGCGTAAAGTGGCACTGGAAAGAACTGCATGAAGCCCACGAGAAGTACAGACAATCAACCCCGAGCGCTCATAAATCGGACGTAAACAAAATCGTATAAATAAACCAACGAAGAAAATGCAATTAAACTTTTCGTAGAGATGTATGTAGGTGGTGCAATTATCATGTTCAAACCCTCATGCGTATAGGTTTCTAAAAAAAAAATCTAGTATAAAAAATGACTGAAATAGACCGTCTGGTTGACGCTGCCACTCGCAGACGGTAGCCTACCTGTCTCAAGTCTGCTGGATTTGCTTTCGGGTGTTAATTTCAAAGTTTTTTTTTTCAAATTTTGCTCTATACTGCGCCATCTGCATGAGTAGCATGCGTCAACCAGACGGGTTGTTTTCGGTTTCCTCCTTTTGCAAAGTGCATAGGAATAAAAGTATTTTCTTTGCTTGAGTTTTTATCCAAAAACCTATACCACATTTGTGAAAAAGTCCCGTTGCTCTCCGTTCGTCGCCTGAATAGCGTTAACAGAGATTATTGCATTTCATTTTCATAAAAAAAGAAAGTTAAGAAGTTAAAAAAATAAATCTCCACTCCGTACGTCGACATGGTGTAAAATCGTGAACCAGCTACGCCACTGACCATGACTTGGTCTCGCTTTTCACATCTCTTTCTTACAATAAAGTGACCAAGGGCTCGCCGTCAAGAAGGCGCCTCGGACAGGCAGAAGCCGACTTGTTAGAAAGTGAACTCGCTGAGCGAAGCAAACGAGGAAATGTTTTTTTTAGAGCGGGCACGCAAAAGGGATGCAGGCAAGCGTATCGGCGTTCTCGGCGAGGATGTCCTTCCAAGAGACGGATCTTCTGAGTGGAATGCAAGTGGCAAACAAGGAACTCCGCGAAGAAAGTTCGTGGGTGCAAACAACTACCAGGACATTAAGGTTTGCAGTTTTTTTTTTTTTTTTTTTTCCTGTGGGCACTTATTTTTGTTTTAACGATGTTGTGGAGTGCCAGCATGATTATATCCGGATGCGAGTTAACGGTGAAAATACAGGACACATAGTATTGTGAATCAAGATGCAGTAGTACAAAAAAAGAATTTTCATCTCGTCACTTTTACGTTTGTTTATCGTGTCCCGGAGGATAGAGAAAACATCTCCTTCATTAAAAAAATGTCGCGATTCCGCTGCATAATCGCAAAGCAAAAGTCCAGCTTTTTCCCTCACCTGCAGCCGCAAGTGGCAGCCGAGGGAACTACGGCGAAAAGCTTACGTGACCTCGCTTCGCTCTAAGCTGCAGCATAACGCCCGCTAATATCAGCAGAGAGAGGGAGAGGAAGCGTCCTTCGAGGGAGCACACGGGAACCTACACGGCACCCCGAATTACGTCACTAGGAGAGCGACCAGGGGCGTGTTCCAAAATTTACTCGAACCTACTCCAGTGTAAGGGTTTTTTTACCCTGGCGCAGGCTCGTAGCCAGAGAGGGGGGGGGGGGGGGGGGGCATGGGGCCCACCTCCCCCCCCCCCCCCCCCCGAAATCGTCCATTTTGCTGGGACCCTCCTCTCCCCCCTTCCTCTCATACAGCATTTTGTCATGGGCGCCCCCCCCCCCCCCCTCCCCCCGAAACAAAATCCTGGCTACGTGCTTGCCCTGGCGTTCTAAAAACTACCCGTGTCCAGCGTTCTTCAATCTGTGTTGTCACGTGACACGACCCGCCTGTCCACCGAGCAACATTGGCACTCGCCGTTGTTTGCACACGAAGTCCGTGATCGGGTCCGAGTCCTCACCGAACACTGACGTAGCCCTCATGTCCAATACATGCTCAGAGTACGCGATCAAATCAAATCAAATCATGAAGGAGCTGTGGAAAAAAGCTACAGGATTGCAGCTTGACGAGTCATATTGGCAGCTAAGCAGCATCGTGGTAAAGTATTCACAGAAGAGAAAAACAAAAACAAAAAAATGCGGGAAGAAAAGTAATCTTAACAATACACTGCAACAACACACTCACAAAAAAAAAACAAAAAACATTGTGATCATAAGTGTTTAGGGCGCACACATTTAAACAAAAGAAAATCGTAAAAAATCATACCCTGTCGGTTTCATACATTCTACGGAGTTCACTGTACTTACAGGTAAATAAATCAAAATGCACAAGATGATATCTATTTAGTAAAGACGGTAGTATGTAACTTAGGCAATCTTTTTTATAGTTCGAACGAGGTGTACGCACTACCCAATTTTCTCTATGTCTTGTTGAGTAACTAGTTATGTTCTTTATTTGAAGATGAGCCAAATCACGCAAGTTAGTAATATTGTTTCGTGTATCTAATTTATACCTCGAACTCAATCGATATCTATACAAGTTGAACGCTCTAGTCACATGGAAGCGGTAGAACAAGTTTGTACTTGGCGCTCCATAAAGCTCATTGTATATATGTATATATGCCGAAGACTTTTTTTTTTGTAATATATAAACGAGTTGTAGGTTTGAAAATGTTGTTCCCCATACCAATTGACAATAGTTTAGGTGAGAGTAAAAGAGCGAATTATAAAGGAGTAACTTAATTTTTGTGGAAAGAAAGTATTTAATACGACCTATAATGCCTGTGACCTGAGCTATTTTAGTTACTATATGGTTTATGTGGCTATCCCACGACATAGTGGAACAAAATACGACACAAAGACCCCTAAAATGTTCAATTTCTATGGAACGTGATTCAGGATGATATCTTTATATACTGGAACTGGCTTTCTTTTTTTTCTTTTTTGGGTTTGAATATGTCTGCTTTAGTTTTTACTTCTTTTATCTGCATGGAATTAGAAACTGACCACTTTTCTATTGCTTTCATCGTAAAATTACGTTTGTCTACAAGTTTGCGGATGTCATTAGCAGAAAAGAAAATACTTGTGTCATTCGCGTATATAATAAATTTGGCAATAGGGTTGATGTTCACAATGTCATTAAGATAAATGTTAAAGAGTAGCAAGCAATGGCGGACGGGCGATCGATGGCGCGGACTTCTGGAAAGGGTCTATTCGCTACAGTTACGATTCGAAAATGCGACTCTGAGATTTGGACTC